GCAATAATTCAGCCACTGATGTGTTTTCTGTTGGTCCACGTCTGCTTCTTTTGTTCTTTTTAGCTATTTGCCATGCAACGCCTTGTCCTCCCAGATTTTCGTAAATTCATTTTGGACAACTTTTGCTTTCTGTTTTACTCATTTGGTATTCGCTTCGTTTTTTTGTTGGTAGGGTTTCAGGTATATTAAGAATGTATTGAAGAGTGCAGCTTCTTTGTTGATGGAGTCGATTTGGTGTTTTACTATTTGTAGGGGAGGGTCATTGGTTTTTGTGAGGTATGCTCACAAATCTGATTGTTGGAGTTTTTAGAATTAGTTCAAGTTGGATTAGACCTCGGCCTCCTAAAGCACTTGACACATACAGTCTATCAGCATTTGATTTCGGGTGGTGCATTCTCATTTGGGTAAGGATTTTATTGGTCTTGGCGTCCAATCTTTTAATGTCATTCAACTTCTATTTAATAATGTTGAAGCTGTATATTGCTACAAGTATAGCAAAGGTGTTGATAGCCTTCATTTTATTGGCGCCTTCATTTTATTATTATTATTATTATTATTATTATTATTATTATTATTATTTTCTTTGATTTCTGGCGTTTACACATTTCTTTCCGGGTCCCGTCCAGGGACCTAATGTTAGAAATGGCATCATGACACTTTTCACTGACAAAAAAAAAAAAAAAAATACATAGATAAAGCCCTTCATAAAGTGTGGGCTGTACTTGTCAGAACAATTTTTTGGATCTCCTTGAGGCATGGACTTCCAGGAATCCCTTCAATTAATCTACTGCATTCTTTTCCAACCAATAATAATAATAATAATAATAATAACAATAATTTTGTTTATTATTATTATTATTATTATTATTATTATTATTATTCAAGCATTTGCAAGTTCGTACTTGATGTTTGAAGTACTGAAGACTGAGTGACAGTAAGTCTCCACAGCTCCCCAGCACCTTCCTCAATATTCTCGCAGATCCCAGGAAAGATGTCTTCAGTGATGTTATGAAAATAATTATTGCCTTTGTTTTCATTATTTTTCATGCAGCACTTCTTCGAATCTACAATTGCTTCAGTATCTTCTCTTGTGGTACTAAGTGCGTCCTGATCCTAATGTTTCATAGCGACTTTTTATCTCGATTGATGTTCTGATAGGTTTCTTATAACTTTTAACTGTTACTGTCACAGATATATACAAAATTTGGCAAACATTGCATTTATATTTCACAAAGTTCTTATTACTTATATGTGGTGAGTGGATCTCAAAATCATGCCGTGTACTTTTTTTAAATCAATTCACCCCAAGCAGGGCGATAATGCCACAAAGACACAGGGAGCTATTGGGAGTGAAAGAAAAAATAACTTGATTTTGTTTAGCAATATATCAACCTATATGATTTATATAATTCCGAAATCTAAATATTTTGAACGCATTTTTATGGATTCAGCTAAATAGTCAGGGGAGGAGTGTGAACCGGGTGATAAGCGAACCTAAAAATTTTATATTCTGTGAGAATCGTCTCTTCTTTGTAAGGGGATTTCGTTTTAGTATCTAGTGTTTCAGTAATAATTGACACTACTGTTTAATTCATATTTCATAAATCGTGGAAGAATTCTTTGTATATTTTTCTTCTTGAATTTTCATACAAATATTTTTTGTTGTCTATTATAAAAAATATGTAAAGGATGTCAGTCGACTGGCATCCTTTACATATCTCTGTTGAAAATATATCTCTATTGCAAACGCCTGCTCAGGCACACTTGTGTTTGTTCAACACCCACACAGTCCACCTGTGCTTTGTACTGAGCGGACGTTAGTTACACTTCCTGGGAGAGAGCGCGTTATCTAGCGTTATTAAAAGTCTGAACAAGGCGCATGCGCTCAAACCCTCTACCCAATTTCATACACAAATTTCGGGTGAACTGGAGACCGATAATATAAAGAAGTCAACGTCCTCACAAACTAACCACAGTGAGATTCGAACCCGGGTTTCATGGTCAGAAAGCGAACGTTCTAATCACTCGGTCACGTGCCCATCATATCGTCTATTAATGAAAATCAAAAGAAACCCCACTTAATCCAGAACTCTCATCAGTATTACTGCTGGTTTTAATAATGTTGTTGCCTGAAAAGTTTTTTTATTTCAGATTTTTCAATTCTTTCTATTTTTCGATCGAGGAGACGATTGCAAGCTTTCGGAACTAATTCTAAGCTCTCCAATGATGAAGATAATGATGACTACCTTCCCATTCAATATTTATTTTTACAGGAGTATGTACAATGTACACGTTGTGTAGCGGGAATCACGGAAAGTGGAATCAGTTCAAATTCAAGGCTGGTCGGTTGCGTTCACTTTCGTGCAAATGTTCTTGGCGAAAGTAGGGGTCCGTTTCTTTTTCCTGCTCCCAGATAGGGGTTAATTACTAGAGCAGACTGTGCTCGCTAGCCTTCCGGTAAACTTTCTAACAAGAGAAAAACCCTGAATTCCAATCCGTGGAGAAGACAACAGAAAACCCACTCTGTCATTTTTCCAATTACAACACAGTAATTCACAGTTTATAATGAAGATGTGGAGAGCTATGAACATCAAAGCCCTTAAGCATTTTTAAATGCCTCGTGGTATTTAAAAAATATTTATGCGTGTAAAGCAGCCCGTCTTTCTGTCTGTCTGATTATTGGAATATTAAGAATTAAAACGAAATGTAGTTACATCAATGTAAACGTCACTTTAGTCTGATAAAGTCCTAAAGATCGAAATGCGTCACACTAAAAATGTTTTCACGATGTCATTATTTTTCCTTACATTTTCCGGTAAAAAAAAAAATAAAAATTGATATATCATTTTCTCTTTCTTTCTTTCTTTCTTTCTTTCTTTCTTTCTTTCTTTCTTTCTTTCTTTCTTTCTCTCTCTCTCTCTCACACACACACATATCATTTTCACGTTATTTTTAATGGATACCCATATTTGAGTAGACGCCCCGTTTATTTCTTAAACAGTATATTCATTTTAGTCTATCAGTCTGAATATTTGAGTAACCTTATTAAAGAAAAATGAGCCCACTGGCAGGATTCGAACGTTTGTCCCTATTTACAGAAAAAAAAATCGTCTTTAGAGCCGACGTGCTTTTAAGGAAGGCCATCGTCGATCAATATGGGACGCAGGTTCAAATCCAGTCGGAGGGCGCAATAAGGTTTCTCGAGTATTTAAGCCAATAGACGAACATAAATATACTGTTAAAAAAAAAAGAGATATCTTCTCAAACATGAGAATCCACTAGAAATAACATTATAAAGTGATAAAAATCTGTCGGATTAAGAAATAAATATCAATAAATATCAATAATATATATATATATATATATATATATATATATATATATATATATATATATATATATATATATATATATATATATATATAGAATAAACGAAATAGAATAAATAAAAATAAAAAAAAAAAAAAAATAAATATATATATATATATATATATATATATATATATATATATATATATATATATATAGGTAGTAACCCGTTGGTATAATTCAGGCGAGTCCTATTAACACAACATAGAATTTGAAATATGTTAAAACTGTCTCAAAAAAAAAGAGCGCTCAATGTTTATTTTCATTAAACAGAGCAAATTTTCTTTATAATTAGAATTAAGATACCTTTAGTAAATAACAATTTTCACCTACGAATTTTAATTTTAAAATTCGCAGGATTTTTCAAACTGTTTCTGATATCAGTTTGTAATGTCCAAAGATCCATATGTGGATCCATACCTTTCCCAATGTTATTTGCGCGTAAGTGAACGCAACTGGGATTTGAACTCGGTACCCAGATTTAAAATTCTGTGCCGTTACCCATTAGATATATATTAATTGTTACCAGAAATGGTCATTTACTAAAGGTATCTTAATTCCAATTGTAAAGAAAATATGAATATATAAATATATATATATATACTTTTTTACAGTTGGAATATATATATATATATAGAGAGAGAATTAGTATATATATATATAGAGAGAAAGAGATATATATATATATATATATATATATATATATATAGAGAGAGAGAGAGAGAGAGGGAGAAAGAAAGTACATATATATATATGTATATATATATATACTTTCTTTCCAATTGGAATATATATATAGAGAGAGAGAGAGCCAGAGACAGACAGACAGACAGACAGACACAGAGAGAGAGAGAGGGGGAAGGAAGGAAGCAAGGAAGATTTTCGTATATGAATACCCCGAAAATGTAATCCAGTCATTCAGTGCCACTTCAATTAGGTATCCACGTTAAGTAATATAAGATAAAGTGATATGTGCTTGCGACTGAGTGAGTGTAGCTAATTAATTACATCAGCCTGTGTTCATTCTAGCGTGGTGTTGAAGGAGTGGCTCCGTGAATAATTCCAAACTGCACTCGATTGCAATTGCTTTTGATATTTAAGCCGGCGTAAATCAGTCTCGTTACTAATTTAATGCTGGCCAACGATTGAAAAAGGCGTGTAAACGTAGTTACGTTCAATTTAGACGAGTGCTTACCAACTGCTCACCGCATAAACACAGACAGCCGACAGCAATTAATATTACTAAAATGCATTCATTTAAGATATCAGGAATTCTGAAAGTTACCATCGCTTGACAAAATATATTCTGACTGGTGTATCACTGTTGAAGGAGAACACAGGCGCAAGCCAATCTTGGAGTTGGTTTGTCTGTTTTTTGTTTAACGGCATATCAGCCGCTATGGGTTATTTATTGACGAAACATAATATTTTCTACGCAAATTTTTGGAGTTAATGCTTTAGTGACACAAGTATTAATAATTAATCCATAACTGGGGGAGAAAACGTGGATTCATGCCTTTCTCCAGGGCAATTTCGCGTAAGTAAATGTAACGAACCTGACTGGAATTGGAACTCGGCTCTCCGATTGACAATTCCGGGCCATTAACCCTTACACCGTCCGCACATCCAAGCTGACAGCAGCTGGTATTCCAAAGCGGTCACCCATCTAGGTACTGACTAGGCTCGACGTTGCTTAACTTCGGTGATCGTACGAGAACCGGTGTTTCAACGTGATCGTAAACTTGTAGAAGAAGGTCAACGAGTGACCCCTCCGCCTCACATCTGGTATATTTTTCTTCATTTACAAATACTTTTTTGTTGTGAAAGGATGTCAGTCGACTGGTTACCGAAAACTGTTACCGCCCTATTAAACCTTGACCTGGCTCAGTAATTCTGAAAGTAAATGTATGTCTAATTTGAAATAGTCTTGAAATAGTGTGAAAAAATGTTCGTTGGCTGTTGTCATCTATATTTCTTATGTTTCTTACTAAAATTAATCAATATATATATATATATAGAGAGAGAGAGAAAAATATATATATATATATATATATATATATATATATATATATATATAATAAAAAGGCTTAAATACTAATATTCCATGGTCATAATTTATTCCATTGGAATCGTAAATACGATCCAATTCATCAGACCTACAAATTCAAAAAGAAAACTGAAAAAAATAACTCCGGAAATAAAAAATAAAATTTAGAGAGAGTGTAAGTATGAGAGTGTGGGACGAATGTTAGACCTAAAAAGAGGGGTAACAGACGAGAGAAGGTGGGGGATTCAAATTTAACAAAGAGAAGTTTTAGAGAGGTGAGTCAAAGACGGTTTAAGTGAGAGAAATATGAATGTTGTCGGATGTCTAATACATTAAAGATGTAACCGGAAAGGATACATTTTGTGGTGACATACACACACAATAGACGATCTAATCTTAAAGATCAGAAGAAGAGGGAGAGAGAGGAAAAGAAAAGAAAAAGGGGTGGGGGAGAGAGATGGTGCGGGGGAAACTAAAACTGAAGGGCATTTACTGAAAGGGCCGCTGTGTAATTAAGAAAATTTCACAAATTAATATCGACTCCAGGTTACAAATCAAATATAAACATAAAAAATAAATATAACGATTATCTAATCGAGCAAGGACCTATATTTGTATGTTCAAAAACACATGCGTAAACACATACACAATAACATATACACGTACATACATGCATATAGGCGTGTACACACATATACACACATATACCCATGTACACACAATGGAATAAATTATGACCATGGAATATTAGTGTTTAAGCCTTTTCATTATATCCTTACTCTGTCCTAGGCATTGAGTTCTACCTGGATTCTATCCTCTTGGAATTTTTTTATACAAAATATATATGTATGTGTATGCATGTATGTATATATATTTATATATTTTGCATATGTATGTGTATATTTACCACTAATATTATCTCTCTCTCTCTCTCTCTCTATATATATATATATATATATATATATATATATATAGAGAGAGAGAGAGAGAAAGATAATATATATATATATATATATATATATATATATATATATACTTTCTTTACAATTGGAATATATATATATATATATATATATATATATATATATAGAGAGAGAGAGAGAGAGAGACAGACAGAGAGACAGAGAGAGAGAGTACCGGGGTGGACAATTTATTATTGTTATTTGAACTTTTGATAATTTATAATTCAACTTAATCGCTTATTCGCTCTTTGTGAGTTCAACGACAATAATATACTGCTTGAATTTCCCCTATTGTATCGTTAAAAAATTGAGCTTAACACCTTTGAACAAAATATTGGAATAACAAACATAAATTTGAATGCAGATCATTATTTAAAGAAGTAAGCGGGTACAAATGAAAAGATTTGGAATTGACAACTTTTTAAAATTCACTAAAGCAAACGTTAAACACTTGACAATGTTAACGCTTCTTTCTTTCTTTCTTTCACTGAAACCAAACAGCGTCTCTGACATGTATTTCCTGTCTTTCCTCCTGATGAAAACGGAATAGTTTATTATTTATGAGGTATTGGCAGGACGTAAGACACGTTCTAACTACTTAAGGAATCAAGAAGGAAGTATAATTATAATTACCTACATTTATTAGACACCAAACAATTTCGTTAACTTTTGATGAAATTACACCAATTTTCTGTAAGTTTTCCAATTTTATTTTGAAAAAAATAATTCTGTCTTCCACGCAATATATTTGTAAAAAGAAATTTTGTATCTAAAAGTCAACGTTAATTTTTTCTTTAACGAGGATGCTTCATTATTCGACATACATGATATTCCGATACGTAAAGCTTGATGAATATGTCGCGTAAGGAAAAATATCCTATCACATCTAAATTATGACAATTTTTGGTCGATAAAGCAACGTGCGGCAATGCATGATAATTTTAATATTTTTTTCTTCTCACGCACATTTCTCAACAATAACATCAAGCAAATACTAATTAAGAATAGCTCTACAAACTATGTAGGTGATGAACAAATAAAAATAAGCTTAAAAAATAAATAACAAAATGCTCACAATAATTATGAATAAATAATACAAAGTTCATTCTCGTGGTACCAAATCTATTGAAATTATAAGCAAAATGAAATATTTATGAAGAATATAATTTTTCTTAGCTGCACCACATCAAATGGTAATGACATCGACGTTAATAATCTTTTATAAAAAATAGATCTTTACACATGAAAATTAAATTTGTAAAAATAAAAAAAATAAAAAATTCATTTCCTAGTCGTTATCCATTGTACATCCATGCTTATTCCTAAGTGGTTTATCATCTTCTACATCAAGGGTCGGCAACCTACGGCCCGTGGGCCGGATCCGGCACGCGAAGGCATTTTGACCGGCCCGCGAGCCTGATTACCAATGACTCTATTTTTAACATGAGAGACGAGGCTTTCATATTTTTAACATGAGAGACGAGGCTTTCATATTTTTTATGACCCTTGGCTACATTAAAAGATAACAGAAGCGAAAGGAACGATAAAATGAAAGAGGCCAAGGAGGGACTGACATGCGAGGTAGCAGAAATCTAAAGACAGTTAAACATACGCGCATTATACATACATGCCTCATGAATGTGTGGATGATACCGCATGTGTACGTACGTAAGTGTATACGTTTGCAACTATTTGTACTATGGGTATATGTACTTTCGTTTTTGTTTGATGTGTGTGTGTGTGTGGTTCATTTGTGAAACAATTTTCAATAACAGTTTCAAACCTACACATCATAATTTCATCCATTTTCACTTCGGTTGATTTTTTTTCACTTTGAAGTATTTTGACGTTCCTTGAGGGAAAGTAAGTTTTGTTAGGTGTTTTTTTTAATTTTAGATTTTCTTTTGTTTTTCTGATTTCTCAATGTTTATTTTCATTATGGTTTTAAATATTTAGGTTGACAGGGGTCTGCATATGTAATTTTCCTTAATTTTTCTTCGTCCGGCCCGTGACCCGTCATTACAACACGATCCGGCCCGAGGGGTCGAATGAGTTGCCGACCCCGGTTCTACATGAAAAGTAAATTTGTACAAATGAAAAAGTAACTTTTTGACGATCAAAAGTAAAATTTTGTAAATGAAAGGTAATTATTTTAGAAGTAAAAAAAAAAAAATGTGTTTCCATTATTAATTTATTTTACACAATTTTTACCACTTTAAATGTTATTTTTAGCAGTTACTCATATTTGTCTAAACGCTTCTTTTATTTATTATTTATCTAGTTTCGTCTACCGGCCTGGATATATAAATATAGTTTTTAACAAATAAACTGAGTATCCACTCAAATATGAGTATCCACTAAAAATTACGTTTAAAATGATAAATTCTGTCGGATTAGGAAAAAAATCCATTATTTCCTTTAAAAATTGCTTTATAAAGTTTGTAAATAATAATGCCTGTTACTTAAATATACATATGTATATATATATATTTATTATTTAAAGACATTTTTATGTTTAACATTCTTTTTATAGAAACAAGTATTTAAGTAAATGCTCTGTTAAACAGTATTAAATAACATTTACAATAAACAGTATTAAATAACATTTACCGGCCTGAATGTCCGAGAAATTTTAATAGAAAATATTCGTCCTTCAGGCCGGTAAATGTTATTAATACTGTTTATTATAAACAGAGCATTTACTTAAATACTTGTAAACGGTATTAAATAACATTTACCGGCCTGAATGTCCGAGAAATTTTAATAGAAAATATTCGTCCTTCAGGCCGGTAAATGTTATTAATAATGTTTATTATAAACAGAGCATTTACTTAAATACTTGTATCTATAAAAAGAATGTTAAACATAAAAATGTCTTTAAATAATTGTCGGACTTTGTCCATTTCATAATATATTTATTACTTAAACGTTATTTTTAGTGGACTTTCGTATTTGTGTAGACGCTACTTTTATTTATTAAAAACTATATTTATTTATTTTCGTCTACCGGCCTGAATAGTCGAGAAATCATAGAGCAAAATGGGGCGCTCTCCGGCAGGCTTCGACTAGGGGAAACCGTCATTAGATCTGACGTGATTTGACTTCTCGCCTGTGCGTCGATGCACAAGCAAAGGTGAATAGGTATTTCAAACACGGATTTTTTTCTGACTCGTGAACTAGATATATTTGCTCAGTTTTGTATACTAACATAAACAAAGCAATTTTTAAAGAAAGGGATGGATTTTTTTTATGTATTAACCTGACAGATTTTTATTACTTAAAAGTTATTTTTAGTGGATATGCCCTGTTTATTGATTAAACAGTATATCTATATCTTTTCCGCTGAATATTCAAGAAATATTCAAGAAAAATATGCACTCTCCGGATTTCTCGAATATCCAGGCCGGTAGATGCAAATAAATAAGTATAATGATAAATAAACATTTAGGATTAGGTTTCCGTTTCCATCTAAAGTCTATTCATTGTCTTTGACTCCCAGTAGCTTCTTGCGTCTTAGTGGTATTATCGCCTTGCTTGGATTGAAATGATTAATATATATATATACCCAGTGACGAGTGAACGGTGTAATTCCAGGAGGGTCCGTCTACGAAAATCTGGAGTCGGGATGCTGTAGGTAACCTCAATCAGCTATATATATATATATATAATAAGCTGGTCATTACTGGGTTGTCTAGTGACAAAAGCAAACTACGCTTAATAA